AGAGCTTAGGCGGGTGTAGACTAGGCGCTCAAGGAGTTTAGATGTAAATGGGAGCAGGGAGATGGGTCTGAGGTTGTTCGGGTCATTGGGGTCCAGGGAGGGCTTTTTAAGTATGGGGGTGATATGTGCATGTTTCAGAGGGGAGGGGAAAGTGCCGGAGGAGAGGGGGAGATTAAAGATGTGGGTGAGGGAGCGTAGGATGGAAGGGGAGAGAGGTCATAGGAGTTGTGAGGGGGTAGGGGCAGGTGATGAGGCGGGCATCAGAGAGGATCTTGGAGACTTCCTTGATGGTAGCAAGGTCAAAGGTGCGGAGTGTTGGGGGGGCTTCAGTATGAGGAATGTAGGGTGGGGTGGAAGTGGAGGTCAGAGCAGTGGTGGGGCCGTGGGAGAGGGTTGATGAGGGGGTGGTTGAGTGAGGGGGAACGGGGTTGGAGGGAGTTTGAGCAGCGACGAAGTCCCTGCGGGTTATGTCGAGGGAGAGGGGGGATGAGGGGGTAATTCTTGACCAAAATGTATTCAGATACTGTATCTTTTTAGTAAAAAAAAAAGAAAATAACCCAAATTTAATTTATAACCAAAAATTATAATTTTTTTAATTTCTTTTTTTAATTTTTAATTTTTTTTATATTATTATTTATGTTTTGTTTTTTGTTTTTAACATACTGTCACCCTAGCAGTACAGTGTCACCATGGGGGGGGGGGGGGTGTGTGATGAAAATTTTAGTTTTTTACACTGATTACTTTTACACCCATAAAGGCTATAATTTCTCCTTCTCTCTGGCTCCATTCTTGCAGCCATTGAGAAATACTGTGTGAGCTGTGATTGGTCACAGCTTGTCACATGGTACAAGGCTGTTGTGAATAACCTTTTACCATGTGATCTCTGTGATCATTCACAGATTTCACATGTAGTAAGCAATGATGTCAAAAGTGACATCTTGCTTACTACTCTTCATGGGATCACTGACTGGCCAATCAGTGATCACATGATCGGGACCTCACACAGAGGTCCCGTACAACGATCGGGGTGCCGCTGTGCATAAGCAGGGAGTGAGGAGGACATTTATAAAAGTGGTTAACAGGGACACAGACAACAATAAACACCTGACAGGGGCTCTAATCCCCTGCACTCTATCCAAAATTAAAAATATTCTGCCTTCAGTTATATGTAGTAGCTTCATTAGTTTTCTCTTTTTAGGCTTTTTTAATTTTTATTTGTAAGTGGTGACCTGGACAGTAACACACTTTCTGTCTTGGGGTGTCTCCACTCTGGATGGAGGAACAACAGAGACTCATTTGGATAGCAGCATTGTCATTCTAGGAAGAGGGTAGTGCTAGCAAATTAAGAAGGACTTGATTAATGCATTAAAGCTAAACTCCAGCTAACCCTTTTTTATCAATTACAGCAACCTTTTTTTTTCTTTTGGGACAGAAGTTTTACATAAATAAAAGCTGATCATTGTAAGCACTCCTGTCAGTTTTGAACCACTTGCCCTCCACCCTATATCAGAACTACTGCTACAGGGCAGTACGGCTGTGCAAAATCACGTACTGTATATATATACTGTGTCATTATGGCCAAAATAAAAAATATATATAGTATGTGATAAAGTCTGTCAGTTGCTATAACACAACAGTCTTTGTTTTTCTCAGTCACCCATACCATAGCTTATTACTTGGTATTTCTTACTTCCTGCCAGTAATGCAGGAAATAGACGGATCGAAAATCGGCCGATTTTTCGGCCAAAAAAAAATCGGCCGATTTTTGCACCGTTAGTGGGTTAATTGGTTGGCCGTTTTTCGTTTTTTTTTTGGTAAAGTTGGAAAAAAATCGGCCGATTTTGCTGATCGGCCGATTTTCCCAGCAATGATGGGCAAATCGGCCAATCGTTTTACTGATAAAAAATCTGCGCATGAGCCGTGACCTGCAAGAAGAAGAAAAAGAAGAAGAAAAATAAGAATTCCAGTCCGCTATTATATTTGACATGAAAAAGTAAACAGGATGAAAATCGGCCGATTTTTTTTTTACCATTGGTGGTAACGTCGGCCTATTGAACGGCTGTTTTTTTTAGTTGTTGTTTTTTTAAAAAACGGCCGGTTTTCGACCCGTCTATGGCCTGCATAAGTCTGTTTTTTTTCAGCTTCTTTTAACAGACCAAGCTGTCCAGCAAAAGTGGCAGTTAGGGGGTTGAGACAAACCAGATAAAGCGGAACTAAAGTCCTGCTTTTGAATACAGTTTAGTTACACTTAAAGTGGAACTAAACCCATCAATTTAACAGTTTCAAAAAACAGTTACATTCCCGGAATGCCAGAATGCTAGCTGTCACATTGGTTTGTGCTGTTACCAAACTGTCAAACCATCAAATGTTTGAAATAATAACTGATCGCATGCAGCATCATGGCAGTTTGCAGATTAAACAGAGTCTCAATGGCAGCTTCCTTGACTGAAACAGATAGGAGGGTTTATAGGAGGGTTTATGCAGGCCATAGACGGGTCGAAAACCGGCCGTTTAAAAAAAAAAAAAAAACGAAACATCGGTCGTTCAATAGGCCGACGTTACCATCAATGGTAAAAAAAAATCGGCCGATTTTCGTCCCGTCTACAGCTGGCATTTAATTACTTCTGTCCCTGCAGAGAGCTCCGCTATTATATTTGACATGAAAAAGTATTGCGGTTGCAACAATGTATCCATTGGTATCCATTTCGGATACAGATGTTTTTATTCGGATACAAACAGATACATTGTTGCAACCGCAATACTTTTTCATGTCAAATATAATAGCGGACTGGAATTCTTCTTTTTCTTCTTCTTTTTGTTCTTCTTTTCTTATTCTTCTTCTTTCTCTTATTCTTCTTCTTTTTCTGCTTCTTGCAGGTCACGGCTCATGCGCAGATTTTTTATCGGTAAAACGATCGGCTGATTTGACCATCATTGCCGGGAAAGTCGTCCGATCGGCAAATTCGGACGATTTTTTTACAACTTTACCGATAAAAGAAATGTGCCAAAACCCCAAAAAAACGGTTGACCAATTAACCTAATAACGGTGCGAAAATCGGCCGATTTTCGATCTGTCTATGGACCGCATTAGTTCTACTTTAAATGGTTTGTCTCAACCTTCTAACTGGCACTTTTGTCTGGACAGCTTGGTCTGTTAAAAGAAGCTGAAAAGTAACAGACTTGGTGGCCGGATCACCAAGTGAAGAATAAAGGAAAATAAACATTAAAATAGATAACTAATGCAGCCAACACATCTCAGATTTGGCAAGCAGCAATATATCACATTTAATACTTCATTTAGTACTTTTTACAACTTTTCTCAGTGTAAAATCCTTAGTTTAGTAGAAAACAATCAGGGCAAGGGACATAACATACTATCAGTGTGATGTGTTCCTTGTGCTGCAGTCTTCTGCTTTAGTAGAAATCTTCCCTCCTTGTGCCCCTACCCACACCACTGTAATCTTCTGGTGTGGCGGGGGTTACTAGAGCTGAAAGAGCTGTCACAGGCTGTCATCAGAAGTGCCAACTATATCCATCGTTTCCATCCCCTATTCATAGAAGAAGTACTATAGCTTCCATCAATGAAAAGCAATCTCTGAATGGAGGATATGCAAATGAATGAATGGTCTGCCTCCTCCATTCATAAGTTGTGTTTAATTCATAGACGCTATAGTAGTGGCTTCTATGAATGGAGGAGGGGGCGGAAAGGTCAAGCATGGTCTTGCACTGTTGATAAAAACCTGTGACAGCTCCCCTCAGTTCTGTTAACCCCCACCGCACCGGACATTTACAGTAGTAGGGGGTCAGAGGAAGAAGATTTCTACTAAACCATCAGCACAAGGGACACATCTCACTGAAGGTAAGTCATGTCACTTGTGCTGATTTTTTTCTTTTTTTTAGGCTTTAAAGTGTTACTAAACCCAGGAGCCTGCATTCACTATATCTGGTCTCCCACAGTACACAGAACATGGAAATGCAATTATTTTAGTAAATATAAACTGCTAAATACCTTTTCTCATCAGCAGTTAGAGCAGTCTTGTGACTTCTATCAGTGTCCAGCCCAGCACTGATTAAAGCTTGTAGAAGGTGTTTTCATTCTGCTCCAGGAGGATGCAGTATCCCTGACCTCTGTGTGGACAGTGCTGATTGGCCCTCATAGGAGCAGTGTGATTTGTCTGTAGGTGGATGCGGGTGCAGGAACAGGAACAATTCCTGCACTCGCAACCAGCCTGCACACTGCCGGCAAGTAGCTTAACGTGGTGCTCCACCCAAAAGGGGAAGTTCCACTTTAACCTCTTCATGCCGGCCGAACGCAAATGTGCAGCCTCCCAGCATCTGGGCCTAGACGCCGATCGGCCGCACATTTGCGTTCTATTAACCACTAGCCTACAGGGCACTTATACCCCCTTCCTGCCCAAGACAATTTCCAGCTTTCAGTGCTGTTGCACTTTGAATGACAATTGCGCGGTCATGCAACACTGTACCCATATAAAATTTTTACCATTTTTTTGTGACAGATAGAGCTTTATTTTGGTGGTATTTAATCACCTCTGGGTTTTTTATTTTTTCTTAAACAAACCAAAAACCACTGAAATTTTTGAAAAAAAAAAACGTTTTTTTTCTTAGTTTTTGTTATAAAATGTTGTAAATAAGTGATTTTTCTCCTTCACTGATGTGCGCTAATGAGGCTGCAGTGATGAGCACTGATAGGCTGCACTGATGGACACTGATAGGTGGCACTGATGGGCACTGATGAGGAGGCACTGGTAGGTGGCACTGATGGGCATTGACAGGCATCACTGATGGGCACTGAAAGTCAGCACTCATATATGACACTGATAGGCGGCACTGATAGGCAGCACTGATAGGTGGCACTGACTGGCACTGATAGGCAGCACTGACTGGCACTGTTAGGAGGCACTGACTGGCACTGTTAGGAGGCACTGATAGGCAGCACTGACGGCACTGGTAGGCGGCACTGATGCACACTGATAGTCGGCACTGTCTGGCACTGATAGGTGGCACTGATTGGCAGCACTGATAGGTGGCACTGACTGGCACTGATGGGTGACACTGAAAGGCTGCTCAGATGGGCACTGATATGTGGCATTGATGTGCACTGTTAGGCACTGAAATGTGGCATTGATGTGGCACTGATGGGCACTGGCAGATGGCATGAAGAGCACTGACAGCTGGCACTGATGGACACTGGCAGGTGGCACAACTGGGGCTACACAGATCATCAGGGCACACTGATCATCAGTGCTCTGATGATCAGTGTACATGTCCCCTCCGAGGAATGCCGATTACCGGCTCTCCTCTCCTCTCGAGCTGTCAGCATGACAGCTCGTGAGGAGAGAAATGCCGATAACCGGCATTTCCCTATTTACATGTGATCAGCTGTGATTGGACATAGCTGATCACATGACCGAGCCAACATCTTCGTCTCTTTCCGTTGATCGGTGATCTGCTGCGTCCGAAGGTACACAGTGCACCGCTGGTCGCCGCGCTGGTCGCTCCTGGAGCCGTGCATGTGCGGTTAGAATGGGAGGATGTCATATGACGTCCTCCCAGAAGAGAACCGCCTTGCGTCCGTTATTTTACTATATGATGGGCGGGAGGCGGTTAAAAAAAGACATATGTGCTGAGAGCGCGCACCCTGCGCTCTCCCAGCACACATGTCCGGTACTCATGGAAAGGTCCCGATCTCCTCTTTTGATCGGGACCTCTCCCGATCATGTGACTGCCATGACGGCATGTCATGGCGGTCACATGACCTTAAACCCTGCCTCCCGGCTTCTGAAACCCTTAAAGGTTCCCTGCTCCTCATAAAGGATTGGCACCTTTGGGGAGCGGGTACCAAAAATTGATGGGTATCTGCTCCCACTTCCGCTGTGATCGCCTAGGCATATGGAAGCAGAAGTTGTCCTCCACCCCCTCCCTCCCCGTAGCACGACACATGACAGGTTCCAGAAAACTCAGAAAGTGCAGTGCAACTCGTCCATGCACAGTGGGCACCTGGCAGTGAAGCTGCAAGCTGTCACATCTGGGTGCCCACACTGAAGATGCCGGTGCTGGGAACACCAGGCGGCCGATGAACTGGGCTGTGGGGGGAACACTGCAGGATCAAGGGACAGGTGAGTGGCTGTTTTTTAAAAGTCAGCAGTTACAGTTTTTGTAGCTGCTATTTTTTTTTTTTTTTTTACAGTCTGACTGGAACTCTGCTTTAAGCTGTTGCCTGCATGTAATTGGATACACATCATTACACATTACTAATAAGTACGGAGCTGTATCCCAAAATAATAATTTATAATAATAATAATGCTAAGCTTCAGCTTTAGTTCTTCCTCACTATAACACGTTTTTTATTTTGAATATATATTTCTCCATCACATTCTCTGCTATACAGGTAGACGTTTTGCCCTTATGAAAAATGGCCGCACAGTTCACACCTCTGTTGATGTCATGCCTAGCAATGAGTCATATTCTTATGAACACGTAGGAACATAGAAGGACCCTCGGGGTCTTTCTGTGCCGGGTGCTGTTCAATAGCGCCTGTCAAACAGAAAACCTATTATGCTTTGTTTTCTAAAAGCTTAACCGGATGGAGAGATAATAACAGTCAGAGTATAGCACGCCGCACCAAGCGTAGTGAAAGACTTCTCTTGGTATTGCAGCTACATTGAAGAAATGGGTCAGGCGTATTCTCGGACAACAGGCTGAGCTGGTGACGTCAGTCGCGGTGTGGCTGTGTCTTGTGTGCAGTGAGTGAGGAGAGGAGCGGAGTGTGTACAAGATGTAAGTAGTGGGGGGTTGGGTTAGTCTAGTAGTGGATGAATGGCGTGGTCATAGAGGTTCAGGCACAGCTGGGCAGGATTGAAGCGCCCAGTGTGGACATCTGCTGTCTTGTGGAGTCCTCCATTGCCAGCCCATATCCTGGAATGTGGTGAGCCTGGCAGGGGGCTGCCATTGCTGTGTGCCCCTGAACTGGCACCTTCCTCCCTCACAGGCTGAGAGACTTAGTGTACCAGGCCCACATCCTGCAATCCAGCAGTGGCAGCTCCCTCATTCCTGCCTGGGAAGGAGCTCTATAGGCTGTGCTAATGTCTATATGTAGCCGCAGTTTGTTGTGAAGAGTTCAAACCCTCCGCCTCTTTATTTTTTACTGCCTGTGTACCATGGGGGAACTTTACCCTCAATTCCTGTCCCCAAGATGCAATAGGAAGTTGAAGGAAATCTCCCTCAATGAAGAGAATGCCCCCATTGGAAGATTCCCCCACCCCCAACACACACACAGATCTGGAGACATCTCTAAGGGTCCTTTTTACTCTGGTGCGCCTAAAAACGCAGTATACATTTTGCAAAAACGCATTTTGTGTTTTTGATGTATTTTCAGGATTCCTGACTCCCAGCATGCACCTGTGAAACGTAGATATTTCAATGGGGAGGTGTGTTTTTGGTTTGCTTTTTAACCAGTTCTTGTCCACAGTACATTTACTGCCGCAAGCCAGGCTGGATCACATACATGTATGTCATCCAGCCTGTTCTGGCTCAATGCTAACTCCTGCTGTCGCTGCTTACAGCAGGATTTTGGCAGCAGGTCCTGGCCAATGATTTATGGCTGACACCTGCTGATTGGCTACAGCCTATCACAGCACAGAGCCCTCTGTTTACAAACACACAGGGCTCTGTACCTGGAATCAGTAATTTGTTTTGTTTCTTCTTGCAAAGCAGGGAGAAGAAAACGGCCAGACCTGTTAGTAAAAGTAGCACGTTATACTTGTTTGGCACACAGTTAACCCTTTTGCTTGCCTCTCGCTGTTAAACTATTCTCAGTCAGTGCCATTATTATTACAGGTACTTGTATTGTGCCATCAATTTACGCAGTGCTTTACGTACAGTATATTGTACATTCACATCAGTCCCTAACTCTCAAGGAGCGTACATTCTAAGGTCCCTAACGCACATTCATACATATACTAAGGCCAGTTTAGACAGGAGTCAATTAACCAACCATCGTTTCTTTGAAGTGTGGGAGGAAACCCACACAGGTACAGGGAGAATATGCAAACTCCAGGCAGGTAGTGCCATGGTTGGGATTCAAACCAACGACCCTAGTGCTGCTCTGCAGGAGTGCTAACCACTTAGCCACTGTGATGTCCATTAGTACAGTATTATATCTGATCACTGTATTAGTGTCACTGTTGATGTCAATTAATGTGCCTCCCAGCAAGGGTCTGTTAGCCAGTTTGCCCACCACACTATTGTAGTCCTACCATAAGTCACTGATCACTTCCATTACCAGTATAGTGTCGTCGCTGTGTAAATTCCAGTATATATACCTTTATTTGTAGACTCTATAACTTCCACACAAACCTATTAAAATACATTTATTTGGGGGTTTTTTTTTTTTTTTTTTTTTTACCAAAGACGTAGCAAAATACTAGGGATGCACCGAATTTCGGTGGCCAAAACTTTTTTGCTGAAATGAAGAAAAAAAAGCACCGATACAGGTACTGAAATAACCCTGCCAATTGCCACCGGCCGCCGCTCGGTAGTTCTCAGCCTTACCTTAGAAACCATTGATCCCGGTGCTGGGCATAGAGATGAGTGAAGGAAAGATGCTTGTCCTCTCTATGCCCTCGGAGGACTGGAGTAATGTCACTTCCTGTTCCGGCCATTTTTTTTTTAAAGCACTAGATCAATGCTTTTTTTTTTTTTTTTTTGATCCAATGCTTTACATTGACCCCATATCTTCATAAAGAGGACCTGCCACTAATTACTTCTATCACAAGGGATGCATGCATTCCTTGTGATAAGAATAACTGTGATTAAATTTTTTTTTTAATGGAACAGTGCAAAAATAAAAAAAAAACATTAAATACATTTTATTTTAAAGTGCCCCCGTCCCCCCATGCTCGCACGTAGTGGTGAACGCTTAAGTAGGCCATGCCCACATATGTAACTGATGTTCAAACCACACACGTGAGGTATCACCACGAATATCAGAGCAAGAATACTCACACTAGACATCCTCTGTAATTTTACACTGCTAACCCGTAGAACTTTTTAAAGCATTACCCATGGTGATTTTTAAGTACCCCAGTTTTACGCTATTCCACGTGCGTGCACAATTTTAAAGCGTGCTATGTTGAGTATCTATTCGCCGTAACATCCTCTGTCATATTTTACAAAAAAAATTGGGATATATATTGTTTTTTTTTTGTTTGTTTTTTTTATTCCGTGTAAAATATATATATTCATTTTTAAAAACTGCGCATTTCGGTTTTCAGCCAAGTGCATTTTGAGTTTTCGGTACCAGAATTTTAATTTCGGTGCACCACTACAAAATACATTTTGCCCTAAATTAAGAAGATTTTTTTTTATTGGAAATGTCTTATAATAGAAAGTAGAAAAAAAAAAATGTTTTTTCCAAATTTTTGGGCTTTTTTTTGTGATATATTAAAAATACCTAGTGGTGATCAAATACCACCAAAAGAAAGCTCTATTTGTGTGAATAACAGAAAATGCCCTGGTCATGAAGGGGGTAAAAGCTTCCGGAGCTCAAGTAGTTAGTTAAACATTCACCAAAAATGCTGCATGCAGGACTTTAAAGGTGGCTTCACCCTGCCCTGCTGCGATTTTGCTAAAATTCAGCTAACTCAGTTTTTCTGGGGGTTAGTTGAGCTTCCCTATAGACTTCTATGATGTCCTGTGGTTTTGGTCCTGCATGCTGCATCTTTGGTGCACTTTCTGAAACCGCACTAAAACCACAGGACATCATAGAAGTCTGTGGGAAAGTGCACTTAACTTGCATGAAACTTGCAAGTTAGCCATACTTTGCTCAAAGGACAGTAGGACTGCACCGGGACAATTTTCTGCTGGGAAACCTTGGGTCCTTTATTCATGTGGATGTTACCTTAAATGTACCACCTACCTAAACATTGTTGCTGACCTAGTATACCCCTTCATGGAAACATTATTCCTGATGGCAGCAGCCACTTTTAGCAGGATATTGCACCCTGCCACAGTGCAAAAAATGGTTCAAGAATGGTTTGAGGAACAGAATAATGAATTTGAGGTGTTGACTTTGAGTTCTTCAGATCTCAGTCCAGTTGAGCATCTTTGGGATGTGCTGGAAAAACAGGTCTGATCCATGGGCAGTCCCACCTCACAACTTAAGGGATCTGCTACAGATGACTTGGTGCCAGATACCACAGCATTCCTTCAGAGGTCTAGTGGATTCCATGCTGCAACAGGTTACGGCTGTTTTGGTAGCAAAAGGGGAACCTACTCAATGTTAGGGGGGTGATTATAGTTATCAATAACTGGTGTATATGTGGTTAAAACAGTATCTAACCCAAACACAAAATTGTAATATATCACAGCATATAAAGTCTTAGGCAGAACTAAATCCTCCTATCCTTTTCA